AAGACAATAAATTTCCCTTTGTGTTTCAGCTGGGTAGGGTAGGGTTCCCCTACTAGCAATAAAGAATGGTCAGGCTGCACACACCTACAGGTAGCCCCTGCAGTCACATGAATACACATTAACAAGAAAAAAAATCCCATTTACAATAGCATCAAAAATAATAAAATACTTAGAAATAAATTTAGCCAAGTAGGCAAAAGACCTTACACTGAAAATTATAAGGCACTAATGAAAGAAATTGAAGAAGACACAAATATATGAAAAGATACTCCAGGTTCATAAATTGGAAGAACTATTATTGTTAAAATGCCCATACCAACCAAAGTCATCTATAACTTCAATGTAACCTCTACCAAAATTTCAATGACAATTTTCACAGAAATAGAGAAAACAATCCTAAAATTTGTGTGAACCACAAAGACCCCAATTAGCCAAAGCAATCTTAAGCAATATCATCAAAGCTGAAGGCATCGTACTTCCTGATTTCCAACTTCATTACAAACCTATAGTAATCAAAACAGTATGATACTGCCATGGCTGGTGTGGCTCAGTTGGTTGGGTGTCATCCCAAGTACCAAAAGGTTGCCAGTTCAATTTCCATTCAGGATACATGCCGGGGTTTTGAGCTCAATCCCTGGTGGGGGGCATGCATGTTTCGCTCCCACATCAATGTTTCCCTCTCTCCCTCTCCCTTCCTCTCTAAAAATCAATAAAAATATTTTTTAAAAAACAGTATGATACTGGAATGAAAACAGACACAAAGACCAATGGAACAGAAAAGAGACCAGAAATAAACCTACACATATATGGTCAACTAATATTTCACAAGGGAACCAAGGATAGTATCTTCAGTAAATGGTGCTGGGAAAACTGGATGCTCACATGTAAAATGAAATTGGATCCTTATCTTACATCACACAAAAGTTAACTTGAAATGGATTAAAGACTTCAGAGTAAAACCTGAAATTATAAAATTCCTAGAAGAAAACATAGGGGAAATAGCTCCCTGACATTGGTCTTGGCAATAATTTTTTGGATATGACACCAAAAATGTAAGCAACAAAAGCAAAAATAAACAAGTGTGACTATACCAAACTAATAAGCTTCTGCACAGTAAAATAAGTGATCAACAAAATGAAAACATAACATAAAGAATGTGAGAATCTATAAACTGTATATACCTAATGAGAGGTTAATATAAAAAAAACTGGCCTTGGCCAGTTTGGCTCAGCGGTTAGAGCGTCGGCCTGAGGTCCGGAGACAACCGGGTTCGGTTCCCACTAAGGGCACATACCTTGGTTGCAATTTGTCCCTTGCCCTGGTTCGGTTGTGCAGTAGGCAGTCACTTGATGTGTCCCTTTCATATCAATGTCTCTCTCTCTCTCTCTCTCTCTCTCTCTCTCTCTCCTTCCCACTCTATCTGAACAAAAAATGGAAAAATGTCTTTGGGTGAGGATAAAAAAAATAAATTTAAATAAAATGTTTTTAAATGATTAAAAAATGGGCAGAGGAGCCCTGGCCGGTTTGGCTCAGCAGTTAACGAGTCTCAGCTAGCAAACCAATGAGTTGCAGGTTCGATTCCAGTCAAGGGCATGTACCTCGGTTGTGGTTCGTCCCCAGTCCTGGTTGATGTGTCTCTTTCACATCAATGTTTCCCTCTCCCTCTCCCTCTCCCTCTCCCTCTCCCTCCCCCTCCCCCTCTCCCCTTCTCCCCCTCTCTTCCTTCCTCCCAATCTATCTGAAGATAAATAGAAAAATATCCTCGGGTGAGGATTTAAAAAAAAAAAAATGGGCAGAGGACCTGAATAGACATTTTTCCAAAGACTTACAAATGACCTACAGGTATATGAAAAAATGCTCAGCATCACTAATCATCAGGGAAATGCAAATCAAAACCACAATGAGATATCACCTCACATCTGTTAGAATGACTATTTAAAACAAAGACAAGAGCCTTGCCGGTGTGGCTCAGTGGATTGAGCGTCATCTCATGCACCAAGAGGTCACCGTTTCAATTCCCGGTCATGGCACATGCCTGGGTTGAGGGCTCCATCCCCAGTAGGGGGCATGCAGGAGGCAGCTGATCAATGTTTCTCTCTCATCGATGTTTCTATCTCTCCTTCTCCCTTCCACTCTCTCTAAAAAACATATTAAGCCCTGGCCAGTTTGGCTCAGCGGTTAGACCGTTGGCCTGCGGTCTAGAGAGACCCGGGTTCGGTTCCTGCTAAGGGCATGTACCTCAGTTGCAGTTTGTCCCCGGCCCTGGTTGGTCGTGCGGGTAGCAGCCATTCGATGTGTCCCTTTCCCATCGATGTTTCTCTCGTTCTCTCTTCCTCTCTCTCCCTTCTATCTGAGCAAAAAAATGGAAAAATGTCCTCGAGTAAGGATAAAAAAAACCCAAAAACATATTAAAAAACAAAAGACAGGAGATAAGTATTGGCAAGGATGTGGAAAAAAGGAATCCTGTGCACTGTTGATGGGAATGTAAATTGGGACAGCCACTACAGAGAAGATTGTGAAGATTCCTCAAAAACTAAAAACAGAACTACCATGTGATCCTGCAAACCCTCTTCTGGGTATATATTCAAAGAAAATGAAATAATTCTCTCAAAGAGAAGTCTTCACCTCATATTCATTGTAGCGTTATGCATAATGGCCAAGACTTGTATATAACCTAAGTGTCCATCAACAATGAATAGGTAAGAAAATGTAAAATATTATTCAGCCATAAAAAGGAAATCCTAAAAAATGTAAAGGGAAAGAAATCCTGCCATTTGTGACAACAGAGATGAACTGTGAGGGCATTATGCTAAGTGAAATAAGTGATAGAAAGATAAATACTTTATGATCTATCTCACTTATACACAGGTGGGCAAAAGTAGGTTTACAGTTGTTCATATGGAAAATATGTTAATAAATAATAAAAAGTAAACTGTTTTGCATACTCATAACTGTTAACCTATTTTTGCCAACTGCTTTATATAAAATCTAAATAGAACCAAATTCATAAAAATAGAGAACATTCGTTGCCCAGAGGCTAGGGTTGGGGGAAACAGGGAGATGTTGGTCAAAGGGTACAAAATTCCAGTTATAAGATGGGGATCTAATGAACAATATGGTGACTAAAGTTAACAATATTGTATTATATATACTTGAAAGTTGATTAGATAGATCTTAATGTTCTCATCACCACCAAAAAAAAAGGGCAATTATGTTAGGTGATGGAACTGTTAACTAATCTTATTGTGATAACCATTTTTATGTGCATCAAATCATCATGTTGTACACCTTAAACTTACACAATATTATATGTCAATTACATCTCAATAAATCTGGGAAAAGAATTTAACATTAAAAAAAAAAAAAAGATGATCAAAGAAAAGGAAAATGCATTGCCCTTACGCTCTCATCGGGTCCTTTAAAGTTAAGTCCAGAATTCAATGAACAAAAGAAAGGGATTTCTTATATCTCCTACTGCATTCCTCTGAATGAACTGAGCCCCCAGTAGTGGCTACAGTACCAGGTTCTATTAAAGAAAAAAAAAAAACTAGGGCAACATGGAAAATGCATTCCTTATGATTCCAAGTCATCTTCTTTATTAAACTATATATTTTAATCTAAAAAAATGCTTCTTTTAAACTCCAGTTCTTAAGCCTTACTTGACACACAAGAAAAATCAAAATCAATCTTTGATCTTTTGACAGCTATTAAATCTTTAACTACAAAATTAAGAAAAAATATCTTTCCAAGCTCTTTCTTTAATATAGCATGTCTGCCATATGAGGAATAACATCATATAAGAGATGAAACAGGAATGTCTACTTTAAACCAGGCACTAAACCCCAGCGAGCATGCTTTAACACACATACAATGAGGCTGGCTTAAATTTTCTTAATCTCAAAGTTCCGTTATCTTCAGAAGTAGTAGCAATCATCTGATAGCCAAATCAAAAAATATTAAAAGGAATGAGGAAAAGCCAAAGCAGTGCTCCCAAAAGTAGAAAGAAGAGTATCTGTAATAAAAGTGATGGGTAGGACCCAGAAATAGTATCAAAAGTTCCCTGATTACCCTGGAAGCAGGCTAAGAGAGAAAGTCTCCTGGTCTTTCTTCAGTGAGGTCAGATCTTGATTATCAGGAAGGCAAAGGTGTTTAAAGATAGGATAAACAACTACTGAACAATTCAAGTTACTGAAGCATTGTTTTTGTTTGGAGAAACAGCAAGTTAAATTAGAAATATAAACGTGTATGGATTTTAATTAATTGGCCTCTTTCTACGTCGCCTAGATTTCCACATTTAGTCTTCTTTTCTCTCTTTCCTAGCTAAATATCAAAACATGTTTCCTTATTTCCATCTTTTCTTCAACACTTTCCTAAGTTTTTATTTGAAAACCAGCCTGAATGGTGTGCCGCTAGGCTCAAATTGCGTTCTTCGAGCCCTAGTTAAATGGTAACATAAAGACAGGTGGAAAATATAAACACAGGCTGGTTATCTGCAAAGTGTCAATAGCAAAAATTAAGGGAATTATTCCCCGACAATAAAATGAGGATTAGATAAATGACCAAATATACTATAAGGGCGCTCCTTAATGCTAGAGATTTAAAGTTAATTCTTCTAAGAAATTCTGGATGTTGAATTGAAACAAAAGTGAACACTTTCTGAATGGTGGAAATACCAGTAACTACTATTTACACTTTTTCTTAGTATTTTTTTCTAATCTTCAAATAGGGGTGGGGGGGGTGAGAGGGAGCTGAGAGGACACTGAGGCGAAAAGCCACTGCAGAGAACGATGCGGGCCAAATACCAGGGAGTCAGCCTCGACCAGTCAGTCTTCGGCGTCCCTTTAGCTCTCAAAACCAGGGGAACGCGTAGCCAGTGACTCAAGGCAGGTCCCGCCTTCCTCCGGCACTTCCCCTCCTCAGGCGGCAGGAGCGTCCGCCCCGGCACGACGCGCGCGGCACTCTGGGAACGGAAAAAGAGGCCGCGCGGCGCCCGCCGAGCCGGAAGGGGAGGAGCTGGGCCTAGAGAGAGGATCCGCGAGAGTCCCTGCCGCTGTGGCTGCCTGTGTTTGCGCGTCGCAGGGAGCGGAACCTGGCGGGCGAGGTGTGTCACGATGCCGGAGCTGGCGGTGCAGAAGGTGGTGGTCCACCCCCTGGTGCTGCTCAGTGTGGTGGATCATTTTAACCGGTGAGCGAGCGGCGCGGGGCGGTCAGTGGGGCCGGCGGCACCTTCACTGCTGAGTCACGGGCGCTCTGGGAAAGGCGCAGCGGCCGCCTGAGCGCTGATGGGCGGAGGGCGGCCCTGCCTCGCCGAGGGACCTAGCCCAGCCTCGGTTCGGGAAGCCCACGTCACCCAGCATCGCCCCTCCCGCCCCGGCCGGCACTCTGGGGCCTGAGCCGCCCATTACTTTGCCCCAGTCGGCTGCTGGAGTATGGGGCAGCCTTCCATTTGGCCCGGATCCCCCAAGCCTCGTGCCTATCTGTCACACCACCCGCCCCTCTTCACCGAGAAGACTCGGTGTCTCATAGGAAAGCCCGTCAGACCCTAGCTTGGGTGCCTTTGAAGACTGTCACCGAAATTCTGGTCTCATTATTCTGAGGGCTCCCTGGAAGAGCTGTGGTTTTAACTTGTGAAAGTTTCTAAGCAGGAGTCTGGTTTAATCATACCGGAAGACGGAGATGAGGTGTCAAGATTTTCTTTGAAAAGTGAGATCAGTTGGAGACTTGGGCATTAGTGAATAAAATAAGGAAACATCCCCAGATGTTTCTCCCGCCTTCCCTTGCTTGTTTTCAGGTTGTTCATCCCGCTGGACCTGTTACACGTGTTCATAAGTTTTACAAGATAATTACTTGAATTGGCTAATGTAAAGACCCAGTTGGGAGCATCTGCTGTCCAGTCAGAGGTTTTTTTGTCTGTTTGTTTGTTTTTAAGTCCTTACCCATAGATTTTTTTTTTTCCCCAGACAGTGGGAAGGGGAGAGAGAGAGAGAAACATATGTGAGAGAGATACACCAGCTGGTTGCTTCCTGCTGGACCCCAACCAGGGCGGGAACCCAACCATAACTGAGGCACGTCCCCTTGACCTGAATTGAACCTGCACTTTGTGGTCCACAGGCCAACTCTCTAACCGCTGAGCCAAACCAGCCAGGGCATCTAGTCAGAGTTTTTAAGTACCCATTTACTCTCTAGCATCTTCTTTGTACAACTGATTCGACCATAGCCAAAAACAAACTCGAGACTTTGAGGTTTAGGGCCCCCAGTTCAGTTCCATTGCTTTATAGGCCCCTCAGCCTAACAAGATATGTTTGCTTTCCCACTGTACAGTAATTACCATTTTTCTCCCATAGGATACTAGGGGTGCTAGTGGGGTAGTCACCATTTTTATTCTATTCAGTAAACTCAACAAACACTGCTAGCTGCTGTGTCAGATAATAAATGTAGGGTTTTTATAAAAGACAAATGATTTTTGTAAACCAAAAGAAAAGCCAGTAAGCATAGATAATAATTTTGAAGTGTGCAAAGTCAGTGCTTAAGATTTCCAAACAATCAGAACCACCAGAACACAGAATCCTTAACTTTGTTTGATACAAACTCCAAATTTAGTAAGCATTTATAAATTTGCCAAACCATCTGATTCCGTTAAATCAATGTGAAACCAGCGACTGTTGAGGAATCATAGTTCATTTCACAGTGGCTTTTGTCTTTCCTTTGAACATAGAGTTGTATTGTGCCTGTCTCACTTGCTACACTTGTAGCTCCTTATGACAGAATCCCTAAGGTTTGATATGGAGCTAGAAATTCTGAAGTAAAATCTTTTGCATTAATCTTTTTCATGCTCTCAGTGTGATTAGTCGCCTGCTCACTTCTGACTTCCTAATTAAGCCATCCAAAAAGACCACAAATGACATACACATGCCTCTGGGTCAGAAGCACTTTCTGAGCCTCAAGCTGGTTCAAAGAATTATAACATCTGGTGGGGCTTGTCAACATGGAATAGTTATCATCAAGCTGGACCATAAAACTGGTTTTACTTTAGCATCTTTATTCTTGAAAAGATTCAAGGATAGAGAAGATGAGGAAAGTTTAAAGGAGAGAGGTAAGCTGCAAAGAAAAATAAAGTTAAATGTGGTAACATAAATATGTTTTTCAAACATCAACCAAATAACATTTTGAAACTCTTAAGTTGGGGGAGTTTTTGTTTTCTCCATTTTAAATTTGTATGAAGTTTGAGGTTTTTTCCAAGTTTATATTGCTTTGCAGTTAACAGTGAGTAAAAACTGCCCGTGTGTAAAGTTCATGAGTTACTCACTATATTTATTAGAATTTAAGATTAAAAAGTAACTTAACTCTATTACATTTGTTTAGTGGGATTAGTTTCCAGGTAAACTCACTCAATTATATCTGTGCCATTAATATTTCCTATTGAGTATCTAATTGTTGGCATATCCTCTGTGTGCCTATAGACTGACCTCTGCTTTCTCATTCAGAATAGGCAAGGTTGGAAACCAGAAGCGTGTTGTTGGTGTGCTTTTGGGGTCATGGCAAAAGAAAGTACTCGATGTATCCAACAGTTTTGCAGGTAAAAGACAAATTTTACATTTTCTGAGCATGGTTAAAATGTAAATTAACTTTAAAATAAAAAGAAAGAAACTTTCTGTGTTTGCCATTTTTTATTGCAACCCAGGATTCTAGTTAAGAATTGCTGTGGTGTAAAAAAGGAGGCTAAAGGCTACACACAGAAGTGGATAGTAAATATTTTAACATGCAGGCCATACAGTCCATTGCAACTGCCCGGCTCTGCTATTGCAGCAGGAAAGCAACTATGACAGTATGAAGACAAATGAGTGGCTGTGGTCTAGTAAAACTATAAAAATAGTTGATGTAGTTTGTTAATCCATGCACTATTAACCATGGTTATGGGTTAGCATGAGGGAGTTGGAGACCATTACCCTTCTATTGTTTCATGAATCTTTACCAGAACATGTCAATGTATTTTATGGTTAGAGCGACAAAACAAAGAACAAAATAATCGTTGGAATGACCCCTGGACTAGAGGTAACTAACTCCAATGTCTAAAAGGACCAGATAGTAATGTACTTTGCCAAATGGGAAACATTAGGGAGTGATGAGGCTTTTATAGCATGTCCTTTTTAAAGGGTTTAGCTTCTGTCTGGCTCTAACCAGTTGTTGGCATGTCTTCTGATTTTTCAGGAGAAGCTGGAAGCCTGGATTTTTATGTGAAACCTCCCATTTTTTAATGAGAGCAATTAAAAAATAATTTTATTACTATGTTGGACAAACCACCAATGTGGATCAGATCTAACCTAGGAGTATCTGACTAACCTGTGCTCTAGAGTTCTACCCAGCACCCTAAACTAAATCTTACCTTTTTTTTTCCTCTTTAGTCCCTTTTGATGAAGATGACAAAGATGATTCTGTCTGGTTTTTAGACCATGATTATTTGGAAAACATGTATGGAATGTTTAAAAAGGTCAATGGTATGTCTTGTTTTGTTTGTTTTGGGTTTTTTGTAGTGTGTTTTTTTTTAAGAAGGTGTTGTGGCATTAATTTACATGTCTGTGTGTGCAGCATTTTTTCTTTTTTAAGTATTCCCTTTGTTTAATGTCAAGGGCCCTTTCTTTATCTAGACTTCAGTAAGACTGATGGTGGTAAAAGAATGAGGTAGAATAAATGAGAAAGTAGAATAGCAATTTAAGACTACCTAATTTTGGGGGGAGAGAGCTAGCCCTCTCTGCAGCAGAAAAGCGAAGAACTATCATATAAACTCCACCTGCCTGGTACCACCAGGATAAATATGTCTCTCCGTCATGTGTATCATTTTCATTTTATTTCATTACAGCAACCACATTGCTGTGGGAATGTTTATTCCTGCAACACTCAGTCGTAGGCTATGTGACACGAACCTGCATTTATATATTGCCTTAGAATTATTTTCTGGTTGCTCTCATGTTTTACTGGTCTCCTAAACTAGTCTGAGATGTGGATGTCTCTGGATTTCCCTTGCTGCTTATTCTGAGAATTCTTTGAGTTTTACATTTTATAAATCAAGATTTAAAATAGATGTCTTAGCCCAGCCAGTGTGGATCAGTAGTTGAGCATCAACCCATGCACCAAGAGGCCGCAGCTTCAATTCCCAGTCAGGGCACGTGCCCAGGTTGTGGGCACGGTCCCCAATGCTGGGCATGCAGGAGGTGGTCAATCAATGTTTTTATCTCTCTCTCCCTCTCCCTTCCTCTCTCTAAAAGCAATAAAGAAAAAAAAAAATTTAAATAGATGTCTTAAATTCTAGAACAGGTAGAGAATATAACAACTGGAGTTTTTACCCTTTCGGAGGGAATTACATAGATCTTTATATCACAGTTCAAACCCACTTAATTTTTTTTCCCTTCCCAGCCAGAGAAAGAATAGTTGGGTGGTACCACACAGGCCCTAAACTACACAAGAATGACATCGCCATCAATGAACTCATGAAAAGATACTGCCCTAACTCAGTGAGTGGACTCTATCTTTAAAACTCTTGAATGATAGTCTTTGCCTGTTTACTTAAGTAAGAGCATCCTAGGAAAGATTTGGATAGAAAATCATTTCACTACTTTTTCTCTGTAAGCTTGTGCTAATTTGTAGTGTTTTGTGTAGTATACAATAAGCCAATATATTGAATAAGCCACTAAGTGCCAGGTATATAAGTTATCTTCCTTAATCCTCTCAGTAATTATATGAAGCTGTTATCCTGTTTACAATGAGAAAAGTGAGGTTTAAAAAGATTAGTAAGGTCTCGTAGGTGGTGGGGCTAGGTTGACTGTTTTGACTCTGTTTTCCTTGTGCTTGATAACCATATTATACCACCTCTGGAGAATAGAGTAAGTGATGAGGTAATTTGAATGTAAAAATCTGGCTCTTGTCTGGTTGAATGAAATTTGTTCAGTACTCATGATCAGAAGAATGGCAGTTATTTCTATATACTCAGTGTGAAGTGGTTTGCTAAGATGTGTTTTTCTACAAGGTATTAGTCATCATTGATGTGAAGCCAAAGGACCTGGGACTGCCCACAGAAGCATATATTTCAGTGGAAGAAGTTCATGATGTAAGTCATTTTGCTATTAGCCTAGAATAGATTTGCTACTTATTAGGCAATTGTTTTGGGGTGGGTTTTTTGTTGTTTTCTATTTTTAAGTCAACAAATTCTTTACCTGTTTATAACAAGAAAAGGTTGTTGGTTTCTGTTAACAGTTTGATATTATGGTTTTTCCCTTTGAGTGTTTGAATGGCCACATTTTAGAAATGAGAGCACCATAGAAATCTAAAGTCCCCTTTTACAAATGAAATTGAGGCCCAAAGTACTCAGATGATTGCCCAGAGGTGTTCACAGCAAAGTAAATGCAGGGCCTGGTAAGCTTAGCCTTACTCTAAGGGCCTTTCCACTTGAAGATTTTCCTATCTCCTTGAAGATTTTCAATCCCTATAGATTAGAGAATAGGTTTCCAAATAGAGTAGGACAGAGCTGCCTGGAGCCAGACCCATCTGTGTGATTTGACCCCTGAATACTCAGCCACTACATCCAGTACCTACTCTTAGGTTCATTAGCTTGTGCTTTAGGTATAGACATAAAGAGCTACCAGAATATATCTTCACTCTATTTCCAGGAAAATTGAACTCTGACTCTAGGATAGGATTTGAGGTAAAAATGTGTTTTGTTAGGAGCATAAAATATTTGCACTTAGAAGTGTGCAGATAGCTTAATCTTGAATTGCCAAAGTCAAAAGCCTGAGGGATAGATTGAAGTCTGTCTTTAGATTTAGATATGTAGTATTTATTCTTATATTCAGTTTTTAAATCTGGAAAGAGATATTTAAGGTTAGCTTTCTGTAAATGGTCCTTGCACTGAGCTCTATCTTCCTGTTACTCTTTTTGCCTTGCTACCAGGGAGCTTAGATCTCAATTTATTGTCTGGTTGCCATAAGGCTTTCATTCTTGTCTTGATACAGTTGTTTTTAAGTTAATCTTTACCTTGCCTCTTTCAAAAAGGAATCTGAGGCAGCTTACGCTCATGCATGCACGCGTGCATACACACCATTGAAGCAAGATTTTTAAATAGTGGATAGAGGGGACATATGGGTCACATAAGATGAAGCCAGGGGAAAACTAGTACCTGAAAAAGCATACCATGACGTCCTCAAGATCATTAAAGGCTCACCATCCTATCAAACAAAGCCAGGAAGAAAATTGCATTGGCAGGATTCGCACTGTCCTGGATAAAATAACAACAGCTAAGGTTAATACTGCTTGGTAGAAGTTAAGTGATTTATTCAAGGTCCTACAGCTCCCTTGTCACATACATAGCAGAGCCAGATTTTGAACTCAGGCAGCCTGGCTGTTCATAGCCTTTACAAGACATTTACAGCCTCTTCTGGCACTAGATCTGAGGAAATTCTCTCCTGAGTCCCATCTGGAAGTCACTAGGTGATGTGAACCACACCCCCCCAGCAGATCCTTTGATAAATTCAGGCCACCAGAAACCCAGTTGTTCTGACTGTATCATTTTGGTGCTCTGGTATTATTTAGTCCAAGGGACAATAGATGGTTAAAAGTTACATTTCTGAAATAAGCTTGCCTCAAATACAGATATTTTGTATATTGCCTTTTCTAGAAAGAACTATGTACTTTAAAAATCAGTCTAATCCAGACTTCCCTGAATGTCCATCCCCACCCCCACTGTGGGTTTGAGAGGATTATCAAGAATTTCCTCAGAAACGAGCTAATGATGCCCCAGGGTACTTTGTCACTGAGCTGGGCCACTGTGATGTTAGCTTAGAACACTAAGCTTTCAGTCCCGCTGGTGTGGCTCACTGGATTGAGCATCATCCCATGGACTGAGAGGTCCCAGTTCGATTTCTGGTCAGGGCACATGCCCAGGTTGTGGGCTCAATCCCCAGTAGAGGACATGTGGGAGGCAGCCAATTATTGTATCTCTCTCACGTCAATGTTTCTGTCTCTAAAAAAAAAATAAAAACATTTTTTTTTAAAAAGAAGAAAGAAAAAGACTAAGCTTTCAAAGCAAACCTTATCCACCCTTGCCATGGGAAACCCAGTAATGTATCTATGAAGTTATTTGACTTAAAACAGAGGAATCAAGGTGTAGAAAGAAACATGAGCCCATTTGTTTGTAAGCAAATAACTATAATTAAGCCTCTTCTCCCAGGATGGAACTCCAACCTCAAAAACATTTGAGCACGTGACCAGTGAAATTGGAGCGGAGGAAGCTGAAGAAGTGGGAGTTGAGCACTTGTTACGGTGAGACTTAGGCTGGCTTCAGAATCATAAGCAGCCCAAGAGGCTGCTCAGTGTAAGGAAGTTTATCAGGAGTACACAGACCTGGGTTCTAGTTCTGGATCATCTTAAGTGTCCTGAGTTATGATTTATGTCTTTGTGGACATACACCTTGTATGGAAAGTGTAATGCTGACTGGGACTGGAACAGACATGTGAAGTAAGTATAGGCATGTGCTCTTTTCGAGCTACGTCCTTTTCAGTGAATGTAGCCAGCCAGTTTTTGCAGAGAATCTACTTGGGATGGGTTTTAAAGTGAAAAAAGTTTCATTTAAGCTCTCTTTTTTTTAATGCCCTGTGATGAGAAAAAGAAAACATATGCCTCCCAATGAAAACAAAATTAAGGCAATTTATACTCAGATCTTTGTAAAATGGAAAAGTAACATTTTTCTTTTGAAAACTTGCCCCTCCCCACAAAGCTAGGTGTTTCCTTTGAATGTGAGAACCAGTGAGCTAATACAGTAAGTACACTGATGCTTTTTCCTGCTCTTTCTTGTGGGTTATTACAGAGACATCAAAGACACTACTGTGGGCACTCTTTCCCAGCGGATCACAAACCAGGTGCATGGTTTGAAGGGACTGAACTCCAAGCTTCTCGATATCAAGAGCTACCTAGAGAAAGTGGCCACAGGCAAGCTTCCTATCAACCACCAAATTATCTACCAGCTGCAGGACGTCTTCAACCTGCTGCCAGATGTCAGCCTGCAGGAGTTTGTCAAGGCCTTTTACCTGAAGACCAACGACCAGATGGTCGTGGTGTATTTGGCCTCCCTGATACGTTCCGTGGTCGCCCTGCACAACCTCATCAACAACAAGATTGCCAACCGGGATGCAGAGAAGAAAGAAGGGCAGGAAAAAGAAGAGAGCAAAAAGGATAGAAAAGATGACAAAGAGAAGGATAAGGAAAAGAGTGATATAAAGAAAGAAGAGAAAAAGGAGAAAAAATAAAATATGTAGCTTTTTAATTTGTAAATTAAAATCTTATAAACTAACTTGTGTGCCCTCCAGAGAGTTCTTTTCATTTTAAGTGCTTGTTAAAAAGCTGTACTGATGAGAGCTCTCTGCCTCAGGTCACTCTTGCCGTGGCATTACATGGAAGTGAATGGATAGAGAGACTGATCTCATACCTAAACTGCGGCATAAGCTGCTATGAATTGGAGATGTGACAACTCAGGCTTCAGATTGTGTGACAAAAGTGAAGAGAAGTAAACATTTTTGGTACTGTTTATTCTTTTATCTGTAAAACCAGGAGCTGAATTTTCCCCATCTCAAAATGGACTCTTGGGGTCTGTTTCTGGCAGTTTGCAAACTTGCTCAATGGAATGCATAAATTCCAAAAGTGCTCTGCCTCGAACTCCTCAAGTTCTGACCCTTCTGAACTCTGCTGAGAATTCTGCACCACGGGACTTTTGGACCTGTAGCTCTGGCATTCTTGGGGCTTGAGATCCAGCTCCATGTATTGTTTACCTTCAAAGATGATTAAATGGCTTGGTTTTTAAGTTTTGTGTTCTAGTCATTTTTGTCTCTGTGAGTGGCAGTCTGTTGTATTCAGAAGCAGCCCAAACAATCTTTAATTGAAGCTGCCTTAAACAATTATTTTAGACTTGGAATCTTTCAAGAAAGAATCTCACTCCTTTAAAAGGCACCTGCTATAGCAAGGAGAGTTCTCAGCTGAGCCTAGAAGACCTAGGTGCCAGTTTGTGCCTCACATTCCTCATATGAAGTCCCCAGAGCAGTCTTTCCTAAGGGACACTCAGTTACTTACTGCAGTGGGTCTGGGTACATCAGATCACAAGGTTAATGGTGATGTTACTGAGGATGGAATGAAGTTACCCCAAAAGAAGTGCTCGGGGCTCCTCTTGGAACAAATTAAATAAGTTACTTGGTCATTTGACATACAGTAGTCACTTGGATATAAATTTCCTTTCTTGAGCAGTTACAACCTCCTTAAAGTTCTGTCATGTACCATCTGGGTTGTCAATGTTTAAAAATTTAAGAACCCAATAAAATAGCACTACAACTGAGTCAATTCGGTCTCAAACCAGTGTCATGCTTCAAAGTTATCAGTTTTTAATACATAGACCTGCTAAAGAGCTAGTTAGTGGAAATTCACAAGTCAAAAATATGTATAACTGAGCTTTTATTTTATATAAATAGAAGCCTGCCCACATGAGCATTTACTTAAAGGTTCATTAAGATTCTGAGATAAAGAGGGATGGTAAAGGAAGAACTACAGACAACCAAGTTTGTTACAACAGTCAGAAATCAGGATGGTTGTGCATCTCTAACAGAAATCTGAAATACATCACAGGAGTGTTGAAGCTTTTACAATTTGGTTTCCATGTTCACAACAGACTGATCTAAGAAAGAAAATCTGGAACATTAACTCTCTCTAGGGAAGTGGGCAGGAAAGAGCCAGCATGCAATGGTTCTAAGGCTTTAGGCAGGTGGAGGAATGAGAATGTCATTCCACGAAGTGGGTCCTTTATGTCAGGGTCAGGTGGCAATCAGACCACACAGGATTCAGATCTGCCTTCAGCAGTACAGTTTGGACTTTAAAAGTTTTCCAGGGTCTAATGCCACAGGATTTTCAGTTTGCCACCACTTGATAAATTGGAATGTTCATTGAGCATCTAAGAACATTTGAATACCCAGGCCTTGTTATTTAATAGTTTGACCCACATGTGGGCAAAATTGACTTCTACCTTCCTAACAGGATCTTCAGCTCCTACATCTAACGAAAATAGCTTATAGCCTCTAGAGTCACTTAGGCTCATTTCCTAAGGCAAAATTGCCATCCTATGTAAAGGTTAGCATCATAAGGCCATGATGGAGATCTTCCTTATACAAAGAGCAGCTGACTGGACTGTAAAACCCATGGCCCTCACCTAAAATGAAACCTTGCATTGGTACAGCCTGGCCATTTCTCCGCTGTTTTTGTTGCTTTGTAAACACTGAAAAAGGAAGAAGTCTGATCCCAAGTCTGGATCATATCTGTAGCTGTAATATTACATTTACTTGCACTGCCAAAGACTTCAGAATAACTTGCTCCAGAGGTTAGGCTTCTGCTACATGTTACAGAGACAATGGTATTTATTCATTACTGGTTTTGTCCGATGACATCTGAAATCTTCCTGAACTTATAAGTTAGTTCTTAATGTAAAGATGGAAACTATCAGAATGAAATGACAGCTTTGGGCCAACTAGTTAGTTAAATGATATTTAATTTTGCTTGGACCATTAATCACTAAAGGGATAAAAGGGAAGTAATCTTACTAAGAGGCTACCATATTACTTCACCAATGTACTAGACGCAAAGTAAATCTTTCCAGCAGGAATTAGCAACCTAGAATCTCACTCCAATTTCTAGAGGACCCTTCAGCTGTGAAAACTCAACCATATACAATTACTTTCACTTCAAATAAATGACTTAACACAGGCCCTCATACAATAATGAAATATCCCATTCACTGGGGAAGTTATGAACAAGCCTTTTATTCTGTCCTTTTCCTACAAAAATATCTACAAGTCTGAAATAAGACTTGAGAATGAATTAGGGTTGTGTGCGACACTACAACACCCTAACATTACTTCACCTGCCCCATCCCAGGAGATGGGACATGTTGGGAAGGCAGAGAACATTGGATTTATGTGACCCACAAGAAAAGATTGCTACAACTTCCCTAAACAAATTCACTCCAAATTGTATATAATATAGACGAGCACTGATTTGCATATCCCCATGCCATTGGCATCTATATTTGCCCAGACTTGAGATCTTTCAAAAAGTTTAATGGCTATTCTTTTTTTTTAATCCTCACCAGAGGACATTTTTGCACTTTATCTTGAGATATAGAGTGGGAGGGAGAGAAGGAGGAAGAGAGAGAGAGAGAAACATCGATGTGAGAGAGACACATTGAGTGGTCGCTACCCACCCGGCCCCAGGTGGGGCTGGGGACAAACTGCAACCAAGGTACATGCCCTTATCGGGAACCAAACCTGGGCCTCTCTGGTCTGTGGGCCTGCGCTCTAACCACAGAGCCAAAGCGGCCAGGGCTTAATGGCTATTCTTGTTGGGGAGTAGGTAGAAAGAGAAAACGACTCTGAAAAGGTAATAGAAGTGAGGAAAGAAAATAGAAGAAAAGAGCCCAGCTGGTGTGGCTCAGTGGTTAAGCATCAACCCACGCACAAAGAGGTCACTGGTTCGATTCCTGCTCAGGACACATGCCCAGGTTGTGAGCCAAATCCCCAGTGGGGGGCGTACAGGAGGCAACCTGATTGTTGTTCTCTCTCATCACTGTTTCTCTCTCTCTCTCTTCCTCTCTCTCTAAAATCAATAAAGAAAAAATAAATAAACGAAAGGGAGAAAAACTGTGAAAGTTGTTCTGTTTCCAGGGCCTAAATCAAGAGAACTCTTTAAGCTTTCCTCTTTTGAGCCAATCTATTCTTCAACACTAGATGGCACCATTGACCAATCTCATCTAAGCAAGAGAACCTGATTGCCAGTTCAACAGAGAATTGGGAAATCTTCCCTCGAAGTTACTTCCCATCACTTCTGCTTTGGGCTGCAGCCATCCAGGCAAGATTTTGAAGGAAGCTGGTGAGTTGCACGGGTGCAGTTGCCACACCCCCACCCTCGTTATACAGTAAACCCTTGATTTTTCGGACCTTGATTTAAAGGACTTCAGATTTAACGTACTTCAGATTTGATGGACAAAATTTCTGGTCGGTATGTCAAATGTGAAAATTAACACCTTGTTCATTTAAAAATGTTTTTAATCAAGATTTTCTTGTAATTAAATTAACAGGGTATTTTTTTGTTATTAATTCACTGTTATTTTTAACAAATTATAGCGAATAGGCCACAAACACTGTAGTAGTTTGGAAAAAACACTGTAGTAATTTCACCTACATAAATATTACATATCTACAACTATAGTCTACATATTTAAATCCAAGAGTCACCGCTACTAAACAATGTTTAGGGAATGATTAGCTTGTGATCACAACACATTACACTCGGTATTGGTTCTGTTGTCACATAGCATGACTTTCTGCAGCAGTTTTTGTTTGTTTACTTTTTTTCTTTATTGACTTTAGAGAGGGAGGAAAGAGAGAGAAACATCGATGAGACAGACCATCAACTAGCCGCCTCCTGTATGTGCCCCACTGGGGATCGGGCCCACAACCGGGGCATGTGCCCTGACCGGTAATCGAACCGGCGACCTCTTGGTACATGGATTGACGCTCAACCTCTGAGCCACCCCGGCTGGGCTCTGCAGCAGTTTTAATATGTGGGGACTGATGTTTCCACGTGCACTAAACGACACCTCAGCCATGTGCATTTGTTTACTAGGGGTGACTGGTGAATGCATGCATTTAACTAGATCTATTCAGTATAAATTTTAAATTACAGAAATACAAAAAACTTTTCGATGAAATTAAATTTTTTAACATGCTTAGTTTTAATTACACAAATATGTCTACATAAATAAAAACAGGTAAACTAATTTGTCAATTTTTTTTTTACTTTTTAATTAATTTATTTTTTTATTAATTAATTTTTGTTACAGATGTTTCTTTTTCCCCCACTGATTCCCCCCTCCCCCTCCCTCCCTGCCCTGTCCCCAGTTTGTTGTCCATGTCCACTGTTCATGCATACATGCATATAAGTTCTGTGGTTTATCTCTCCCCCACCACCCCCTCTTCTGGGGATTGTCAGTCTGTACCCCACTTCCACGTCTCTGGGACTACCCCATTCCTCAGACTGTTATGTTCATTATATTCCACAAATAAGTGAGATCATATGATACTTGTCTTTCTCTGTTTGGCTTGTTTCACTTAGGATGATATTTTCCAGGTCCCTCGATGTCACCTCAAAGGATAAGAGATCTTTCTTACAGCTGCATAGTACTCCACTGTGTATATGTACCACGGCATTTTTATCCATTTGTCTACTGGTGGACACTTGGGCTGTTTCCAGATCTTG